GTGCTCCTCCTTTCTCCAAATTCCTACTGTACAGCCCCAGCTACAATATTTGGCTCTTACAGGGAGACCACCTGATGTTTACTTGGGCATAATGTTGAGTCTGTAGAAGATACTAAGTAAATATTTGTTGGCATAATCAATCACGTAAAGAGGATTTGAAACTGAGGGTAGCCTTAGACTACTCAGTATAGGAATGGTGAATATGTGACTCAAATGCTGCCAGTACATTTATTGTCCCAAACATCCTCCATATTCTTGGCAGACATCAAAAATTTAGTTCAGAAAGCACCCACCATAGATTCTCTTTCAACCCTGCACATGGGAAATCATTACCAATCAATCAGACATGAGACAACACTGACTTGTCATCACTGCTATGTAATCTTGCAGATGAGGTAAACGAGGCCCACAAAGTTGACTTGGCTTGTTCCATGCAAAACCACTTAATAGCAAGGCCAGAACTAACACCTAGCCCCACTCTTTTTCTGTTTGGTGCTCTTTCAATTTACTACAGTTAACTGAAGACAACATCTTTTTATTCAGCTACTCATAGAAGACTAAGAGACTATTGGTTTCCAAGAGAAATGAAATGAGCTTTAATCTCCTTTTGCTTTAGCTGTATATAATGCCAGTGGCAAAATGAACTAATGGGCAAGTCACAAGATTTTAGCTCCACAGAAAAGAATTCTGAATAATGAGAGCTGCACCTAAATGGAGCTGGACCCCCATAACTAATGCCGGGCCCTCCATACAGCAAAGGCTCAAGGACAGGTTGGATGAAGCACTTTGGGAGGCAGAAGAGTCTCACAGAGGGGAGGAGGTAATTACAGCTCATTGCCAGGCCTGGGCTGTGCTTTGAGTCTATCACCTCACTTCCTCCTCACAACCCTGGAAGGAGAGGCAGCACCATCACTCCAGTTCCAGATGAGGTAGAAGACTGAACCTCAGGGGATTAAGCAAGTTGCCCAAGATCACAGTGCTAGATAGTAGCAGAGTCAGGATTTATACTGAGATCTACGTGACCCAAGCAACACTCTGAACCCATGATAAGAGACAGGGACAACAACGAGACTCTGTCTCAAAAAAAAAAAGAAAAAGAAAAGAAAAAAAAGAAATCTGGGTTCAGACCCAGATATTATCTTTCTGTGGCCAGAGAGTGGCCAAATGTTTTTCTCACTTGCACATTCAGAGCCAACCAAGACAGTCTTAAGTTGACCTCTTGTTGCTTTCAAATTCTTTGACATTATACTTGCCTATTTTTTGTACTGAGCTCTATACTCACAAGTCTAGCAACTGTTACAGGAGAACGTGACCCTGTATTCTCTTAAATCCTGGCCAAGCTTTACCCTGATCAGCTTCTCAATTAGGATGAGGTCAGATATGTTTAGGGAGGTGCCTCCAGTGACCTGCCCACTCTGGAGCAGGCTTTAGTCAAAGTTCTGAAATGCCTGTTTTTTTTCTGAAACACCCTCTCCCCAATCTTTTATCTGTCCTTCCCCTTCTTTACCTGTACCCCAGCAATCTCATTGCAACCTCTACATCTTGGGTTCAAGCGATTTTCCTGCCTCCGCCTCTGGACTACCTGGGACTATAGACACATGCCATGCCTGGCTGATTTTTTTTTTTTTTTTTGTATTTTTAGTAGAGATGAGATTTCACCATGTTGGCCATGCTGTTCTCAAACTCCTGACGTCAAGTGATCCAGCCACCTCAGCCTCCCAAAGTGCTAGGATTATAAGTGCGAGCCACCACGCCCGACCTGAACCCAGATTTCTGGTGCTCTTCCCACATCCATATCCTCCCTCCTCCCAGGTGAAGACATGAGCACCATTTTACTTTGCTTTAGACAAAAGATGTTATTCACACTTTGGGCACCAGGCTGCTGAATAATAAACCTTCCAACTTTCATTTTAAAAACTATTTTAAAACCATAAAAATGACAAATTATCAAGCTTCTTTACTGACAGAATCAATGACAGAGAATGATTGAACTGATAAGGGTTTCATTTAATAACTTGAAATATCTTTTGAAACTTTTTCTAATTATTTGGCTTGAGATAGAAAGGTCTGATGCCAAGTTCATTTTTTATAATACATTTTATGTTATTGTTAGAGTAGAACATACATCTTTAAATTCAATCTAAAAAATAAAAAGAAGTAAAAAAATAAGCCAATGAAAAAGAAGCCACAGTTACTCCATCCAAATAAAGCATTGTTGATATTTTGGTGTGTTTTACTTGTAATATTTTTTAACGCCTGAATTTGTAGTTACACAAAACTATAATTATATATTATGTGCTACTTTAATTTGGCTTTTCCACCTAATCTCACTTTATAAACATTGTTCCATGTTACTTCATACTATTAAAAACATACTTTAATAATTTCAAAGACTTAGGATAAAGTCTTCTGTCACTCATCAGTCTGAAGCCCAAATACAGAAAAGAAAATCAAGGTAACAGCATCTTCCATTGTTCACTCCTCCAACAAAAACAGCCCTGAATTACTAGGGGAAAAGGTCACTGTTTAACACAGATTTTGAGATGTCCTTTTCTGAGCCAATGATCAGAGCTGTGCAATGAAACTGCATCCCTCCTAGAAGCTGTCTTCCCTTACATAGATTTAGAAAATTAATATGACAAAGGCAGAAGAGGCAGGGATTTCAGACAGCTCCATCCTAAAAGCACTGAGCTACACACAGAGGGACCAAGAATCAGGGAGGCCCAGGTTAAGAGTACAGTGGAGGATTCATTTTAAAGAGATTCAGGAGAATAATATAGGTCAGCCAATCACATCTGGCTGAGGCTGCTGGAGACTGACTGTCATTACCATCTGACAGGTGTTCAGTGGCCCAAATGAACAGAGTTGGTCTCATTCCAGCTTCTAGAGAACAGGTGTGCACATCACCAAACACAAGGGGAAAATCTACTGTTATAGTTTGCACTAATTAACATCTTTGCTGGCAGGCTCAGCAGAAAGGCCAAGAGTTCAATGGCTGTGGAAGGGACTGATTTGCTATGGAACAGGCAGGGACACACTGATGAGTCCTTGTGAAACCACAGTTCTCAAACAAATGCCCATAGTCATGGACCTCCATACCCTGACACATGCCTGTGTGGGCACATTCTATGGATGGTTTATATTTAAGTCCTTGAACCCTTTGGAACACTCAGAAAGGCAACAATTGTCAGCAGCCCCATCACAAAGTAAAATATAAAATACATTGCTAGATGCATTTCAAGCCCTGTCTCTTCCATAACATTCTTGTATCTGATCAGATCTCTATGGGTACTCTGTATCTTTGTTACCTGTTGGGCATTCTGTCTAGCAGTGTTACTTCAGTGATTTTTATAGTTCTGCACTATCCCAGGACAGTGACCTGGAAGAACTGGCCTCCTGTTAAGTTGTGAGACCACGTAAGAGACTTTAGAACCTTTGGGTTTCCACCTATATCCTAGACAAGCTGCAGACCCTCACTAGAGCCCAGCTGTCAAACCTATTTCTTCAGCCTCATCAGCATCCCAGACTCCATTCCAGCCCCTACTCACCACAGTCCTTAATCTTCTTTAGTATTACCTCACCTTATTTTCAAACCTTGTCCTTTCTTATCCAATCAACTGACTTCTCTTGCTTTTGCAATATACTTGGCAATTCTTTACTCTGTTCCCTTGAACACATTATTGCCTCCACCAGGAATATTCTCACCCTTTCTTTCAATTGAATCCACTGCCCTGACCCACTTTTCCTAAGACTTGGCTTGGAACTCTCTCTAATGAGAGAAGCCCCTTTAGAACTAAGTAAAACCTAGAGTCTTTTCATATGAAGTTCATTTTATCAGAAAAACAAACAAGTAAGCTATGAGCTCCTCTTCTGCCCAAGTCAAAATCATACTACAAGTTTTTTTTTCAAGACACTGGGAAATGGTTCAGAAGCAGAGCAACCTTTTAAATTCAGTCTTCCCTGATATTCAGCAAAGGTGTATTCATGTACTTTTGGACGGGTTCAAGATAAAGGGCAAATAGAAAAAAAATCACCACAGGGGGTTTGCTACAAGGGTATCTACTCTGTGTGAATGATTCTTTATGTCTAGAAGAAGAAATACAGGAGACATTGTTTCTAATTCTCTCATGTCTCAAAATGAACACTGGGGTTGCTGCTCAGCTTGTCATAGGTTAATATATAAAGTTATGAGACAGCAGGCTCAGTAGCATGAGCAAGGCACTGGAGACTCGAGGACAAAGAATTTTCATCGCTATTTACTACTGTCAGTTTGCTAGGAATTCCTAAGTTGCTTAATTTTTCTTTAAACTTCAGTTTTAAAAGAAAGTGAGATAAATACAGGTTTATTTCACAAAGTGCCATTAATAATTACTAAAATACAGATGCTTCTCAACTTATGAGGTTACATCCTGACAAACCCATGGTAAGTTGAAAATGCATTTAATACACCTAACCTATCAAACATCCTAGCTTAGCCCAGCCTCCATTAAATGTGCTCAGAACACTTACATTAGCCTACAGTTAGGCAAAATCAACTACTGCAAAGGCTATTTTATAATAAAGTGTTGAGTACCTCATGCAATTTATTGCATACTGTACTGAAAGTGAAAAACAGAGTGACTACATGAGGATACTCAAAGTTTGATTTCTACTTAATATGTATCACTTTTGTGCCATTGTAAAGTAAAAAAAAAAACCCACTTAGTTGAATCATCATAAATTGGGACCATCTGTACACAGAACTGTCTATCTTACATTGTTCATTAGTAATTCCCCAAAATAATGTAAACTCTCCGTTTGGCAACATAGGTATAGATTTTTAAATTTGGTACACATTTTTCATTAATAAAAATGTAAGATTTTTAAATACCTAGATGAGAGTTCTTAACACACACACATACACACCAGGAGAACTGCAACAGACAATAGTGTGAAGTATGACTTACATGTGAGGATAAAATAAGCTTTCAGGTACAACCTAAAGCTCTGGAATCATTTACCTTGATATACTGCCACAGATGACCGAGCATGGTTGAATGTTGTGCAGGTAGTGAACGGCTTTGGATATTCCTATTAATATGCTGATTCGAATGTGCCAAGCGAGTGGGGCCGTACCACTCTAAAACGACAACAGCAATCGGTTTGGTTGCACTTTCTGAGGAAAAAACTACCTATGTATTCATATGCAGACGTACGCCAGAATAGAAGCAGACAGCAAGCTGGGGTCAGATGGGCGAATCAGTGTTTGGTTTTTCCAAAGCTCATTTTTAATTCCAGATGGGTTTCCTTCTGCTACTGATGACAGTTCTAGGCCTCTTTATAGACAATGAAAATACTCAATACTTCTTAATATTAGCTTAATCAAAACATAGCTAGTAAGGTAACACTGCTTAAAAGTTCATTAAGTAAGATTTTTAAATTACTTGTGGTACAATAGTGTGAATGAGATAATCTGCTTTTATTCTCATCCTAACTAAAACTTAACTTATTTGGAAACAGTTTTTAAAATTAACCTCCAAAAACATCTTATGAGGGATCATGGCATTTATTCAACTCCCTTTTCAATCTCTCTCCCCTTCTCTCTCTGTCTTTTTTTTTTAGACACGGTCTCACTTTGTGTCACCCAGGCTGGAGTACAGTGGCACAATCATAGCTCACGACAGCCTCCATCTCCCTGGGCTCAAGCAATCCTCCTGCCTCCACCTCTCAAGTAGCTGGGACAGGCATGTTCCACCATGCCCAGCAATTTACTTATTTATTTTTTTTAGTAGAGACTAGATCTTGCTATGCTGTCCAGCCTGCCTCTTTAGGGTCTGTGTCACTGTAATGGCTATCCTTTGTATTGAAGGATACTTTGTATAAAGTTATATAAATTAAAATTATCTAAGGAATAAGAGCAGTTGATGCCAACTCATTGGAGGTACAGAATCTAATATAATATAACATAGTTGCTAAAAGATGCTGGGTTCTTACTGTATAATGATTAAAAACTCAACATGCTTGCACAAAACACTTTAACTCAGGTATTTACTCAGTCTTCTAAAGGTAAGAAATTAATCCAAGAAGTACTGCTTCCTTGGGAAACCCATCCTTCGCTTTTCCCTCATGCAAACACATCTTGCCTCCCAGCCCTCCCAGAAGGTTTCAGCAGCTCCCGCAGGGCTTCAGGGGGTCAGAGGATCAGACAGAGTAATAGATAGAACTTACTACACACTGCAATCTGTCAAAAAGTGTTCCATTTCTCATGTATGGATAAACCAGACAGAACTTCTCAGTCTCTGTAAAATATGCGGCCAACTCTAGTATGTTTGGATGGTGAAACCTTGAAACAAAAAAGGGTTTAAGGCCATCAAATTGCTTATTCAGACAGGAAATGAACAACACTCTGGTGTAGGGGTAGTAAGATGGGGTGGAGAATAGGCCTAAAGCAGAATATAAATTCAGCCAGACACACTGGGCATAGGACACAGATTTGCTTTCCAAATTGGTCTAAAGAGTTCTAACAGATGGGCACAGTGGCTCACACCTGTGAGCCCAGCACTTTGGGAGGCTGAGGCTGGCGGATCACTTGAGGTCAGGAGTTTGAGACCAGCCTGGCCAACATGATGAAACCCTGTTTCTACTAAAGATACAAAAGTTAGCTGGGGCATGGTGGCGAACACCTGGTTACCTCAGCTACTCTGGAGGCTGAGGCAGGAGAATTGCTTGAACTGGGAGGTAGAGGTTGCAGTGAGCCAAGGTCACACCACTGCACTCCAGCCTGGGCGACAAGAGAGAGACTCCGCCTCAAAAAAAAAAAAAAAGTTCCAGCAAATACTAGTTACTCTTTTTGATAGACTGTAATCATGTAAATATAAATAAAATATCCAAATATAAGGCAGAAGGTTTTAGAAAATTAAGATTTTTAAAGATTCGTGATGTTGGAAACTTTATAAAAGGTAGACAACACTATTCAATATCAACATATATTTTATCAATATGAAAGACAACATGACTTATTAGGTAAAAACAGTGCAACTAAAATTGTTCATTTGATTTATTTGAGTATATAAGTTAAAATCACCAAAATGTAAGAATAAAGACCATTTTCACTCATCCTTTTATTGAGCAGTACGTCAGGTACTGTGCTAGGTACCAGTTACAAGGCTGAAAAGAGACATCAGTATCTTCGCAAAGCTTGCATTATTATCTAAATCCACATGACCAGTAATGTTTGATGTTGAGAACATATCATTGATTTTAAATCACAGATTTCTATGTCAGTGTAGTATATGATTCTCAGGCTTTTTTTCCCTAACAATCATTTATTAGCTTATTAACAAAAATCTCAATTCCTTGATTATGTGTGCCACCACTATGAACCCAGGTAACAACTATGAAATATAAAACATGAAATTCATACACACCATGAACTCAGTTTAATTCAAAAATTATTTATAGAATAACTACTATGTTCTGGGCAGGCTTGGGGATATTAAAATAAATCTGTAAAAAAGATTCTATTTATAAAAGCCTGTTATTAATTTCTACAGTAGCAAAATTTTCCTATAAACATACACACTCTGATATATATATATTGTGTGTGGCGGGGATGGGAGGGTTCTGTTTCCTTTTTTTCCTTTTACTTCGAGGAAGGAAGCATGTGTCTCTGTGTGTGTGTGTGTGTGTGTGTGTGTGTGTACATATACACACACACACACAGAGAAGATTTTATTTTTAAATATATCAAAGTCTTCGGTGAAACAAGATCACTACACCTATTATGATTCTGACCACATCTATAAAATGAAAAGCAATGGATTGAAAGGAAATTGAGTTAGTATATTTAACAGCAGTGTGTACACCTGGTTGGTTCTCCTGCATCTTAAAATAATTCAGAGAGATGAATTTTTTGGAAGGCAATAGTTAGTGGACATCAGACGGATACAGCCATGGCCTGGTGCTCTACTTTCTTGCTCAGAGAGGAGAAAAGACCATGTGTTTATTTTTAAGTATTACTGATCAAGCACAAAAACAAGATACTTTAAAGATTACTAAGGTATGGAACATGGAGATACCTGGAGAAAGTTTGCTGGTTTTGTGCCTATGGACTCATGCCACCCAACCTCTCGCTACAAATTTTTAAATCAGTAGGGTTTTAGATTATATACATCAGAAGATTAGCAGATCTGATACCTTCTAAAATCAGTTCAGCAAACATTCTGAGTGCCTTCTGCAGACAAAATGATGCAAGCCCCACAGTGTGGTAGAGTAAATAGACTTCAACAACTAACCTGGGTCAGACTCTCTGGTCATTTTACTGGCTGTGTTAACTTGGGCAAGTTATTTAATCGCACTGAGCCTGTTCCTTTAACTGTAATCAGTAATTAGAACTATCTATTTCCAAGGTTCTTCAGAAAATTTAATTCCTGCTGTAGACCTTTTAGTGCACTTAGAAAAATAAAAGAAAATTAAATAAAAGGTTAAGCCAAAACCAGGTCGTCAAAAATTATTAGCTTTTTCCCCTTCCCTTGAGAAAGAAGGGGAAAAAAGGAATCAGAAGTCACATTCTATGGAGTTTAAAATTCTGTTTAAGGTAATTCCCTTAACATTAAACTAAAGAAACCTCATCCTTCAGGTCTCAGCTTAGATATTGCTTCTACCAAGAAACGCATTCCACTGCCCATCCCCCAGGTGATCATTTCCTCCTCTGTGCCCTGTGTTTCCTCATCTTATCACTTAATTAGTCTATTGAAATTGTCTGTTAACTTAGGGACTTCTTTCCCAATCCCATTTCTGATAGTACATTCTAAGAGGAGAAAGCTGCATCTGCCTTAGTCATATCTGAGAAGATTATTTAGAAAATAACTTGCATCTTACGGAAAAGGTAGGCTCTATCTCAGTTTCCTCTTTAGCAAAATGGAGATAATAGAATTTATCTCACTGGATGGTCATGAGGATTAATGAATTAATACACGTAAAGCACTTGAAATAGTGCCTAACACAAAATAAAGAGTAGCAAAATAAATAATGGTACCCTAGGAATAGTCAAAATTATAAAATTGTTAATTCTCTCTAAATTAATCTATAAAGTTATTAAAATTCCATTAAAAATGCCAATAGAAATTTTTAAGCCCAAATTGTTGCTGTGGTTCACAGAAAATACCTCACCAGATAAACAAATGGATCAGATAAATAAATGTAAAAAAAATGAAACCATGAAACTATTGGAAAAAAATGGAAGCATTTTTTTATTATGTTGGTGCAAAAATTATCACAGTTTTGGCCATTAAATGTAATGTTTACATAACTTTTAACATTGATAAACTTAACTATAGTAAAACCATTTCTATGTGTCAAAACTGTAATAAGCAGAGACGAAGTGACAGTATGGTATAAAATTATTTGTATCTCACAACATAAAAACAGGCAGATTTTCTAATGGGAATTATAAAATGTTCCTTCAAACCATTAAGAAAAAGACTGACAGCCTAACTTTTATAAATAGGTGAGGAATATTATCAGATACTTCACAGAAAATAAAATATATCTCATCAGATACTTCATAGGAAATAAAATATATCTCTTAAATGTATAAAAGGATTATTAATATTGCTCAGAAAAATTGATATTATGAGACTTGTTTTTTTAAGAGGTCACAAATAAATAAAATGTAAATGAAAAAGGAGACATTACAACTGATACTACAGAAACACAAAAGCTCACAAGAGACTGTTAGCAACTATTGTATGCCAGAAGAAATGGATTGATTCCTAGAAACATACAATCCACTAAGGCTGAATCATGAAGAAATAGAAAACCTAAACGGACTATTAACAATTAAGGAGATTGATTCAATAATCAAAAACCTCCCAACAAAGAAAAGTCCAGAACCATAGAGCTTCTGGGTAACCTCTAACAAGCATTTTAAAAGGAGTTAATACTAATCCTTGTCAAACTCTTTTACAAAATTAAAGAGGAGGGAAGACTGTCGAACTTATTTTATTAGGCCAGCATTACCCTCATACCAAAGCCAGATAAGACACAATGAGAAAAAGTTACAGGCCAATATCCCTGACGACCATAGATACAAAAATCCTCAATGAAATACTAGCAAGGCAAATTCAACAGAACATTTTTTATTTGTTTGTTTTTGGAGATCGAGTCTTGCTCTGTCACCCAGTCTGGAGTGCAGTGGTGTGATCTCAGCTCATTGCAACCTCTGACTCCCAGGTACAAAAAATTCGTGTGCCTCAGCTTCTCTAGTAGCTGAGATTACCAGCGTGTGCCATTCATTACACTCCGCTAATTTTTACATATTTTGTTACAGATGGGGTTTCATCATGTGGACCAGACTGGTCTTGAACTCCTGACCTCAGGTGATCTGCCCTCCCTGACCTCCCAAACGCTGTGATTACAATTGTGAGCCACTGTGCCCAGCCTTCAACAGAACATTAATAGGACTTCTCCCTTGAGAAGCAAGGATGGTTCAACATGTACAAATCTATAATGATACACCATATTAACAGACTGAAGGATAAAAATCATATAATCATCTCAACAAATGCAAAAGCATTTGAAAAATTCAACACCTTTCATAATAAAAACTCTCAACAAATTAGGTATAGAAGGAATCTATCTCAACATAATAAATGCCATATATGATAAACCCACAGCTAACATTATACCTAATACTGAAAAGCTGAATGTTTTCCCTCTAAGATCAGAAAACAGACAAGAGTGCCCACTCTTGACATTTCTATAGAGCTGTAAGTCCTAGCCAGAGCAATTAAGCAATAAAAAGAAATAAAAAGCATCCTAATTGGAAAGGTGGAATTTAAATTGGCTCTGTCTGCAGATGACATGATGAAAACCCAAAAGACTTCACCAAAAAACTGTTACAACTAATAAACAAATTCAGAATAGTTGTATACAAAATCAACATATAAAAATCAATTACGTGTCTATAGGCTAACAATGAACAACTGAAAAGGAAATTAAGAAAATGATCTTATTTACAACAACATTAAAAAGAACAAAACTCTTAGAAATAAATTTAACCAAGGAGGTGAAAATTCTGTGCACTAACAAACTATAAAACACTGATGCAAGAAACTGAAGAAGATATAAATAAATGGAAAGATGCCTTACATACATATTAATCTTCCAATTCAAAAAACATTATATACATGAATTGGAAGAATTAATATTGTTAAAATGTCCATACTACTGAAAGTGATCTACACATTCAGGGCAATTTCTATCAAAATACCAATGATGCTTTTCACAGAAATAGAAGAAAAAAATGCCAAAATTTATATAGAACCACAAAAGACTCAAAACAGTAAAAGTGAGTTTAAGAAAGAAGAACAAAGCCTGATGCATTCACTTCCTAATTTCAAACTATATTATAAAGCTACAGTAATCAAAACAGTATGGCACTGGCATAAAAACAGACTCTGACCAATGGAATAGAATAAAAAAAAAAAACAGAAATAAACCTACATATGTATCATCAGCTAATCTTTGAAAAGGGCATCAAGAATATACAATGGAAAAATAAAAGTATCTTCAATAAATGGTGTTGGGAAAACAATATAAAATTGGACCTTTGTCTTATACCATATACAAAAATTAACTCAAAGTGGATTAAAGACTTAAATGTAAGATTCGAAACCATACAAATCTAGAAGAAAACACAGGAAAAATTTTCCTTGACATTGGTTTTGGCAATAATTTTTTTGGCTATGACACCAAAAGCATAGGCAACAAAAGCAAAAATAAACAAGTGGAACTACATCAAACTAAAAAGCTTCTACATAGCAAGGGAAACAACAAACAAAATGAAACGGCAACCTATGGAAAGGGAAAAAATATTTGCAAACCATATATCTAATAAGGGGTTAATATACAAAAAAATATAAGGAACTCATACAACTTAATAGCAAAAAAAAAAAAAAGCAAATAACCTGATAAAAATGGGCAAATGACCCAAAGAGATAGTTTTTCAAAGAAGACATACCAACAACTAACAAGTATATGAAAAGATGCTCAAAATCACTAATCATCAGAAAAATGCAAGTCAAAACCACAGTGAGATATCACCTCACACTTGTTAGGATGGCTGTTATCAAAAAGACAAGTGATACAAGAGTTGGCGAGGGTCTGGAGAAAAAGAGGTGCTTGTCTGCTATTGGTGGGAATGTAAAGTGGTACAGCTATAATGGAGGTTCCTTGAAAAACTAAAAACACAACTACCATATGATCCAGCAGTCCCACTTCTGGGTATGGATTAGTCCATTTTCATGCTGTTGTTAAAGACACACCTGAGACTGGGAAATTTATAAGATGTTTAATGGACTTATAGTTCCATATGGCTGGGATGCCCCACAATCATGGTGGAAGGCAAAAAACACATCTCACAAGGCAGCAGAAAAAAGAATAGAGCATCTGCGGGGAATATCCCCTTTAAAACCCATCGGATTTTGTGAGACTTACTCAGTATCACAAGAACAGTATGGGAGAAACTGCCCCCATGACTCAATTATCTCCCATAAGGTCCCTCCCACAACACATGAGAACTATGGGGGTATATACAAGATGAGATTTAGGTGAGGACTGAAAGCCAAATCATATCATGGTAAGTATGTAAAAGAAATAAAATCAGTATCTCAAAGAGATATCTGCACTTTCATATTTAATGCAACATTATTCACAGTAGCCAAGACATAGACACAACTTAAACGTCCATTGACAGATGAATGGGTAAAGAATAAAGTGTGATACATGCGCATGCACACACATATACACAAATATTATTCAGCCATAAAAAGAAGAAAATCCTGCCATTTCCAACAACATGGATGAACTTGGAGGACATTATGCTAAGTGAAATAAGCCAGACGCAGATGACAAATACTGCATGATCTCACTTATATGTGGAATCTAAAATAGTCAAACATAGAGAAGCAGAGAGTAGAACAATGGTTACCAGGGCTGGCGGTGGGCGCGGGGTGGGGAAAATAGAGAGATGCTGGTCAAAGCAGACAAATTTTCCATTGCACAATGAGCATGTTCTGGGGATCTAAAGTACAGCATGGGTGGTGATGGATGTATTAATTAATTTGATTGTGGTAATCATTAGACAATGTATATATCAAATCATCACATTGTACACATTAACATATAGAATTTATATTTGTCAATTACATATTTTTTCAAAAGCCACACTGATAAACTATTTCCACCTATCAGATTGGCAAAAATTAAGAGGTAAGAATAAATACTAGGTTGACAACAATGGGAAACCAGGAACTCATATATGACTGCTTTGAAAGTAAATTGGTATAACTTATATTGGTGGACAATTTGGTATGATAAAATGCACATAACCATTTGATACTATAATTTTATTTATGATAATTTATTTTACAGATATACTCAAGTATAAAGTAACATATATACAAGACTTTCTTGTTGCAGTATTATCTTCAAATAATAAAATATTAAAACAAATCTAAGAAACCATCAACAGGGGAATGGTTTTGTAAACTCTAACATGAACGATGTGTTCATGCTACCTCTTGTGTTAAAGGAGTAAAATGAGAAAACAAAATATGTATGTCTACACACAAAATATCTCTGGAAATATATACAAGAAACTGGTAATACTGTTGCCTTGGAAAGATCAGCTGGGTGGCGGGATGATAATTGTGGGAGAAAATCTTTTATTGGTCTATCCTTTTGAACTTTTGAAATTTTGCAATGTTTGAATCTTACTTTCATAAGCAAATAAATAAAACTTAATTGTAAAAACTCTTTTTTTTTTTTTTTTGAGACGGAGTTTTGCTCTTGTTACCCAGGCTGGAGTGCAGTGACGCGATCTTGGCTCACTGCAACCTCCACCTCCTGGGTTCAAGCAATTCTCCTGCCTCAGCCTCCCGACATGTAAAAACTTTTTACTACTATGACTTTAGATTTCATTTTTTATTGACTAAGTGATATGTAAGCTTTTATGATTAGCCTCTACTATTTTGATTTCTGGTCTTCAGTATAAAAGAAAATGGACTGAGTATAATGCCTTATTTCTTCACCTTCCTCCCTGCCTCTCCACTTCACATCTTGGTTAAGAAAATATCTGAAAAGAATGTTTCCTATTTGTAAAGGGTGACAAGTGAACTCTACAGGGTTAGAGGCCTTTGATGAGGAAGGCTGCACAGCTGCAGATAGGACTATATATGAAAATGAAGTCATTTTAACTTGTCTCCAAAGACTCTCAGACTTATGAGTGAATTTCCAGAAAATAATATGCACAGCAAAAGGGCTTGATTTCTTTGTCTAAAACTCTCTTCCTAAATAGAGTTATACTGATGAAACAGCTTTTAGACTGGAATGTTTCTAAGGAAGAGGGGAAGCGGTGAAATACAGACCACTCTAATGTTCTAGGAATTACTGTTCAGCCATGTTAGTCACACATGATTTAACCCACTTCCTTGTGACAGTTTCCTCTTAAAATATGTTCAAGTGAATTATGTAAATGATCTATTTTTAAATGTACTTTAAGGAATATACTAAAACAGATGTCAAAATTTATCCAAAGTTCTAACGTCTGACCCAGATTTATTACATGTTACGCCAAGCCCTGTGCCGTAAAATCAAAGATGAACAGAGATGAAACCCAGACAAGAGGAAGAGGAAATTCCAGATAAAACATACTCACAGCAGTAAAACTTCAAGCTCAGATAAAAACCTCTTCCAATGCTTCTTACATTGCATTTTTTTCTCCTAAATACACAGAAAGACAACAACAAAATCAAGAAAAGGATCTCCGTCTCTGGGATTCTTAACCCTATTCTTAACTATAGGGGTCTACAGTTTCCCTAAATTAGATGAACTTTTTGGTGTAAATGCATATAAATGCTTTTCTGGAGAGAGGATCTTTAGCTTTCATCAGATTTTCAGAAGTCCGTTAGCCCCAAAAAAATCTAGAACCACTGTTCTTGAATTAAAAGTTTTTCATGCAATGGATCACCTTGCTAAACTCTTTCATCATATTTTGCACACATTTACACAGATTTGAAAACATTCTATGTATTCAAAGACAGTCCCATAACATTGACAACCTCCCCACTTGATCTGATAAAGAATCCGTTTTGGGTTATTTCTATTCTGCTGCAAAATTTCACTGATTTGGTGTTTATGACTTGGGTTATTTGGATAGGTCAGTTCAAGTTTAGCTTTGCATTAATTTCGAAAAGATGGGCTTACTAAGCAAATAAAAATATAACTCCTTACTTCCAAGAAGCTTTAGAAGATAGCCCAGAGCCTGGCACATGAATATTGGATAAATTAATAAAATTAAATAAATTAGTTTGATAATATTGTACAGAGCATCTACTCTGCTCCTGGCACCGTTCCTGATGCCTTCATACATCTTAGGTTATTGCATGTCTCTGGATATCAGGTTTCTAACTTCTACCAGTAAAACAGTTACATTAACTATGTTCCTAGATCTCACCAGTTGTAACATTCTATCATTTACAAATTGCTAGAGACAGTGGAGTTTTGGAGCTCTACCCTCAGGAATAAAAAAGAGGGAAATTCAACAGGAATTTTGGAAACTATTTTCCAAGTTGAGCCAGGAAGTCAGAAACAATAAATCAGGCTAAAAAACATTTTCAATGACCATTTTATCAGAATTTACATTTTACAAGACCATTGTTCCGGGAGCTAGGTGGGTTGGATTTTCGGCCCATCTCCAACACTTCTTTTTGTGACTCTTTGTCAGTCACTTAATCTAAGGTCACAGTTTTCTAGTTTGAAAAATGAAGGAGTTGCTTTTTGTGTTTATGCTAATGTAGTACTCTAACACCCTGTTGCTTGAAGTGTGGTCTATGAACAAAAAGACCCCAGCTTCACTAGAAGCTGTTGAGAAATGATGCATCCAGGGCTCCGATCGAATCTGCTGAATCAGAAAATGCATTGTAAGATGATTCCCAGGTGATTACAGTTAGAGGAGCACAGATCTAACACATCTGGTACAATTTCTCACTTCAGTCTCTCTAAAAAAGGTAATTGGTAATGAACCAATGTCATAAAACTGCATGTCTTTAACAAATGTTCTGTGGCTAAGGCTAAATTAAATGTTCTCATTTTTTTACTGGTAAGCTTTTGTGTGTGTGTGTGTGCGCACGCACATGTGTGTTTGCATGTGTGTGCGCACGCGCACATGTGTTTGCACGTGCACGTGTGTTTGCATGTGTGTGTGTGTGTACAAAGGTGTTGGGCTTAAAAAGGGGGCAGAGATAAAAGCAGAAGGGAGAAGTCCAGCCATACTTCCATTTACCACCCTAAGAGAAAGTTAAAATGTATGTAGAGATAGTAAGATTTTGTACAGACCCTGGTAATCTCAGGTATTTTTACTCATAACTAGCAACTAAATTATTGAAAAGGGTATGTATGTTTCATTCAATTTATCCAGCAAATATTTGCTGGGCAACTACTATGGGCCAGGCCCTGTAATAAGGCACTAGGATACAAAGACAAATAAGAGGTCTTCGAAGAAAGCTGCCTAGTCCTTGGAGAGAGGGGAGAGAGGTGGGTGAAGAACATAAGGCTTTGATGCTGTCAAACACATAGGAATGGGTTTCCTAGCTCAACTTGGAAATGCAAACCACACTGGAGGGGTCACAGACAATCAGGGAAATAACACCTCTCTTTAAGAAAGAAAGGGAAGGGGATCTAGAGGCAATAATACCCCACTGAGACTCATGGAAAGAAAACTCTCAAAAGGGAGTGTGATTTGGTGGCAGCTGCAAAGAGAACAGGAAAGTGGCCTGGACAGATCCTTTGGAGATGGGGCCCTGGGGCTCAACCATAAGAGACTGTACAAATTGGGACCGAGGACACATGGGCACTAAGAAACAGGCTTTAGCTTGGCCACCTCTAGAGTGACCACATTCTATTTGTTGAATGATTGTGCCAGCTGGTTGTTTCTTTAGTAGACTGTTCATCTTTGTAGGAATTTTGAGATCTCTATGTACAAGTAAGTAGTACTAAATGCAATTTAGAGAAATGGAAAAATCAGGTAAATAATTTTTTTTGCAGCTAATTCCTAGCTGCAAACTAGGAATCACCTTGGAACCCTCCTTCTTCCCCCTTCCCCAGTCCTATCCAGCAGATAACCAGATGTGGTCCACTTCGCGTTGTCCCTTAGACATACTTCTTCCTCTGCATCCTCACTGACTTTGCCCTGGCTAACAGCATTAGCTGTCATCACGGGCTACACATGTGAAACACCTTGGGACCTTTTAAAAAATACTGGTGCCTGCCGTTTTTTTAAAAGCTCATTTTTTAAAGGCTCATTTTTTAAAAAACTCCCTATGTAATTCGAATATATAGTCTGGGTTGGGAACACTGGTTTACATACTGTCCATTTCTTGGTTTGCACATCTGAAATATCCCTCTACCAGGTCTTTCTGCCTCCAGTCTAGTTCTTTTATTTATTTATTTTTGAGACAGGGTCTTACTCTGTTGCCCAGACTGGAATGCAGTAGTGTGATCTTGCCTCACTGCAACCTCCACCTCCTGGGTTCAAGGAATCCTCCCACCTCAGCCTCTTGAGTAGCTGGAACTACAGGCATGTGCCACCACATCCAGCCTTTTTTTTTTGTATTTTTTGGTAGAGACAGGGTTTCACTATGTTGGTCAGTCTGGTCTTGAACTTCTGACTTCAAGTGATCCATGCACCTCAGCCTCCCAAACTGCTGGGATTACAGGTGTGAGCCACCATGCCTGGCCTGCCTCCAGTCTAGCTCTTGCCATTTTTCCCCCAATTCTTCTGCCAACTTCCAGTCCACTATCTAAACTAGAATCATATTTTAACAACACAAATTTAAGTCTTTCGCTCTCCTACTTAAAAATCACCCATAGACTTGACATCTTTCCAGCATTCTCTTCTCACTATCTTCCCTACAATCACTCCACTGTGCGGAATGAAATGCTATTCATGAGTAAGACCCATACTTTTATACATACACCTCCAGGTCCCTGCAACTGCTTTGTTCCACTCAGAATGTACTTCCCCTCCTTCACTACCTGCCAAAATTCTATTCAACCTTTGAAATCCAGCTGGAAGGTCACTTCCTTTCATCTACCTTTCCATTTGTTTTTGAGGACAGTTTACTGAGTGGTTACTCTGGCCAGATACTCTTCTGGGTGCCAGACACATCCCTCCTCTGGGTGGAGAGGGTTGCTATTTTTTTTAATTAGTAGACTTTATTTTTTAGAGCAGATTTAGGTTTGCAAAAAATTGAAATGAAAGTAAGGCATTCCCACATACACACACACACACACACACACACACACACACACACACAGCTTCCCAATTATTAACATCTTGCACCAGTGAGGTACAATTGTTAAAATCAACGAATCTACATTGACATATCATTATCATCATAGTTTACATTAGGGTTCACTCATAGTGTGGTATATTCTATGGGTTTTTGACAAACATATGATAATATGTATTCACCATTACAGTATCTGAGAGAATAGTTTCACTGCCCTAAAAATCTTCTGTGCTCTGCCTGTTCATCAACCTCTTACCAAATACCAGAAACCATTTTTTACTGTATCTATTGTTCTTCTTTTTCCAAAGTGTCATATATTTGGAATCATAAGGCATGTAACCTTTTCAGATAGCCTTCTGATATGGTGTAGCTGTGTCCCTACCCAAATTCATCTTGAATCGTAGCTTCCACAATTCCTATATGTTGTGGGAGAATCCAGTGGGAGGCAATCGAATCATGGGGGTGGGCCTTTCTAGTGCTGTTCTCAAGACAGTGAATAAGTCTCACAAGATCTGATGGTTTTAAAAGTAGGAGTTTCACTGCACAAGTCCTCTCTTGTCCGCCGTCAAGTAAGACATGCCTCTTGCCTTCTGCCATGATTGTGAGGCCTCCCCAGCCATGTGAAACTGTGAGTCCATTAAACTTTTTATTTTTTTCCTTTTTACTTATTTATTTATTTTTTAATTTTACTTTAAGTTCTGGGATACATGTGCTGAACATGCAGGTTTGTTACATAGATATACATGTGCCATGGTGGTTTGCTGCACCTATCAATCCATCATTTAGGTTTTAAGTCCTGCATGCATTAGGTATTTGTCCTAATGTTCTCCCTCCCCTTTCCCAAAATGCCCCTGACAGGTCCTAGTGTGTGATGATCCCCTCTCTGTATCCAGGTGTTCTCATTGTTCAACTTCCACTTATAAGTAAGAACATGCAGTGTTTGATTTTCTGTTCCTGTGTTAATTTGCTGAGGATGATGGTTTCCAATTTCATCCATGTCCCTGCAAAGGACAAGACTCATTTTTTTTTTAATGGCTGTGAGAGTTGCTATCTTTTATGTGGTCCTGTGATCTTTTGTATAATTCTCTGCTAAAGTACCTCTTTCACAACAGTTTAATCTTTTGTTTACCTGGCTGTTTCTCCAGAGAGACTACGAGCTCCTTGAGAACAGAACTATGACTTATTCATCACTACATGCTTAGTACCCAGTCCATGTAAGAGTTTAGTAAATGGTTATTTATTGTTGACCAACTATGAAGAAAATGAAGAGCAGCTCTTCTGTGTACGTGTGTGGACCCATCTCTGACTGACTCCTGAGCTTGATCCTGTAATTCCCTTTCTGCTTCTCTGGCTGTAGTCATTCAGCTGTCTTCTGACCTCCTATTCTGCATGTTGGTTTGTTGCTCCTACTTGAAAGCCTCTTCTCTGAGATGTAATAACAGACAATTTATAAAGCATATGCCAAAGTGGCTTAGTCAGTGAAGCTGCCTGGAGAAGACTTGGCTCATCTGGAAAATCCAGGAAAACTGGGGCAGACTGGCACAACCTGATCCTCTTTAGCAAAGTCCTAGGAGACTTTTCAGAAGTCTTTTTTGGGGGGGTTGGGGGTATGGCATCACTCTGTCACCCAAGCTGGAGTGCAGTGGTGCAATCTTGGCTCACTGCAGCCTCTTCTTCCTGAGCTCAAGTGATTCTCCTGCCTCGGCCTCCCCAGTAGCTGAGACTACAGGAGCATACCACCACGCCTAGCTAAGTTTTGTATTTTTAGTTGAGAGACGGTTTTACCCTGTTGCTCAGGCTGGTCTCAAACTCCTGACCTCAGTGATCCACCCGACTTGGCCTCCCAAAGTGCTAGGAATACAGGTGTGGACCACCACACCTAGCCTAGAAAAGTCTTCCATGCAATACATCTTGGAATGGGAAGCATTTAACTTCCACATTCTTGCAAGACAGGCCTTCATTTCTCTAGTCACCTGAAATCATATCTCTTATTTCCACTTACAAAATGTTATTTTCAAATACTCCTTTCAACACTGATGAAAAATGATACATTTTAATATTAAAGATGAGCAAATAAATGGAACTGATGCCCTGTGACAGTAATTCTTTACAAACCTGTTTAAATAATTTGGCAGCATATGTTTGGTTTTGAATCTCCACTCTGTATACCTCAAAGATCTCTCCTTCTCCAATTAGAAAGTCTTTGTGGAAATGTCTAGTTCCTTCTATGATGTTCTGAAAGCTGATGGAAGGTTTAAGCAATATTCCTTAGGAAGGAAAGTAGGGGAAATATAAATTATCTTTTCTCTTTTAAGGATGAATGTTACCATTATAACCAAAACTTCTATATTAAAAACAAATCAGAGTTCAGTAGAAGGTCAGTAGAGAAAGGCCCAGGAGCCAAAGCTGAAGCCCACCATGTGCTCTCTGCACTTTTACATGGATCTAGTTCCCACCATCCCACAGAGCAAAGGGTTTCTTAGAACAGCAGCATTGTGATTTTATTGCCTCTTGAAAGAGATCAGCCAGAGCTTAGTGCAAGAAACTCTTCCAAGATTTCCTGGTCAATGTGTTGCTGTTGACCCACTATGAACCTAAAACTACGAAATAATTATGAAAGTGGAGATCTTGACATGACTAAGCAATATTCTCCAAGCATGACTGATAGAAACACTTTTCATGTGCCAAATCCTTTAACTGTCTAATTTATTTCCTCCAAGTAAATTAGAAAGATGATTTAGGCTTTTAAAAACTCACTCAAAGCAGGAGATTGGGAGAAAACATACAAAGAGTAACTAAATACAAATTGCAAAGGAAAAGTTTGGCTATGTCCTTCAGAACCCAATTTTGGCTATATTTCCATAGCTAAAACAAAATCCTCTCAGAGGATACTTAATGTTTGATTTAGACCTTATTGTTGAAGAGCCAAAGCTTTATCTAACTTTTCTACTTCTTTTTTCAACAAGAGAAGCATGAGATCTAGTGGCAAAGGTTAAGCAACACAGCCTTAAATAGTCTTTAAAATTTATCAGAATGATCCCAGGTGGGACTAAATTATTCTTCCTTAATAAAGTAGGAAAGTTTATTTGGAAAATAACTGTATTTTCATATTGACCTTTAGCATTGCTCTACAAACATCTTGAAAGATTTCTGCAATTGCTGTGAGCATTTCTATATAAAACTCAACATAATTTTAGAAATGTTTTCCCATGACACACAACCGTAGCAAATTTTACTACCGAAAACTAAAACATACTCCTGTGTGAAGAGACCACAATTGCGTTCTTCATTAGCCAATGGAGCCCTAACATAACAATATGTCATCTATTGGAACTATAAGTGTCAATCAAATTGAATTTATTTTAATATCTATGAATTTTATACTGAATCTGAATATAAATAGTTAGTGTTTATTGCTTATTTCTCCCTCTCAATTCACTTAAATGAAAGTATGATTTTTAAAAAATTGTTGGAAAAAAACTGTGTTTTTCTTACCTTTTTCATTATGTTCAGGAATAAGAACATTATCCACTGTGACATTGGCTGTTTCCTAAGAGAAGAAATACAAACTAAAGTAATTCCATTTCATAAGTCTAGAAAGAACAGGCCCTCAATAGAAATCCAAAGCTCCCTGGGGACTATGCAGTGCAACAGAGTGCAACATAATTTAGGAGAAAGCTAGCAGAAATCAAAGTTATTTCACTTTATTTAATAGCATTCATAGCCATATATATTTAAGGCTTTCATACCAACAGTAAAAACTCAAGTTTCAATGCCACAGTCAGTTAGAGTCAATTTTAGATTACTCCTAATGCTATAAAAATGATCACTGCTAGTTTGCTCTAATAAAAACTAACAGCAACATGCAAAACACCAACCAAAAAAGGAAAATTAAAAGCTGAGTTAAGACAAATGTATAAATCACAGCATTCTTAGTAATTCTCAGTCTCATCTCTGACAGATCACTGAGAGGAGAAAGCTCTTAATTTTTCAAATATTTATAAATTTCTAATTTCCTAAATCCTCAACTAAATAAACAATAATGAGAGAACCAGAGCATTTCTGGTTTTAAAAAGTATCTGCAAATTCAGCATTTTTCTGATGATTAATTTCATTCCTTATGCTCGATTATACATGCCACAAAGTTCAAGGCTCGTTTTCCATGCACACATACTCCACCTTGGAAGATATGTTTGGAAATCCACCTTCTTGATAACTCTTCTCTGAAGGACACAAGACTGCTCCTGAAAGAGAAATACAAGACAGTAGATACAAAACAATTGTATGTCCCTAATAAACATGTTTTTCGGACTCTGAAAATAAATATCTTGATAGCCATCTTCATTTCTAGTTTCGCTCCCAGGAATACTTAAAATAAAATTGTGCAAGTATTATTTGTGAGGTATTATATTTGTGAAGTAGCTTTCTAATGAACAAATATTATACAAACATACTTTTGTTCACTTAAAACATAAGTAGTTGCCTTAATTTATTATTAATATAATAATTAATAGCTTAAAATAATTTAAATAATTAAATAATAAACAAGTAAATAATAAATTATTGTTAGACATTAAAAATATTAAAGTACAAAGAAGAGAATTTTCAAAAACACAACATTATTATCATCTTTTTTTTCTTTCCAGATGGAGTTTCACTCTGTCACCCAGGCTGGAGTGCAGCGGCCCGATCTCGGCTCATCGAAATCTTTGCCTCCTAGGTTCAAGTGATTCTCCTGCCTCAGCCTCCCAAGTGGCCAAGATTACAGGCACCTGCCACCACGCCTGGCTAATTTTTTTTGCGTTTTTAGTAGAGATGGGGTTTCACCATGTTGACCAGGCTAGTCTTGAACTCCTGGCCTCAAGAGATCCGTCCACCTCAGCCCAAAGTGTAATCCCAAAGTCCTGGGATTACAGGCATAAGCCACAGCACCCGGTTTTGTTATCAGCTTTCTTGCACATATATTTTTAAATGTTACAATTATGGTATTATATCTTTCTCAGTTAGTTTACTTTTTATATCATCTTGTGCCATAAAGTATTAGTGTGTGTGTGTGTGTGTGTGTGAATCACAAATACTTACCACCCCAAATGTCGACTATAACTTCTATCTGGTAGAGGGCTGTCTGGATTGAGGTAATTTATATAGCTTCCTACAAAATATTAAAATCCTGCCATATTTTGTTGTCATTTCTAACATTTTGGCTCAGACTAGAAAACTTTCATTTTATCTTTTAGCTTTCTTCTTTCTAGATTATCTTCTAGTGTTTCTTAAATTATTTTGCCTAGAAAACTAGCAAGAAACCATAACCAATTAATAACAAACTTCCTTGATAACACTATAAACCAACTAGACTTAAGAGACATCTATAGAACATTCCATCCAAAAATAAAATACACACATATTTCCCAAGTGTACATTGAACATTCTCCAGAACAGACCTGACCTGAGGCAATTACATGAACCTCAAATATATGTGTAAGGATGAAATCATACAAAGTATATTTTCTGATCATATTGTAGTATAAGTAGAAATCAACAAGAGAAGAAAATTTGGGAAATTCACAGATATCTGGAAATTAAACAACAAAATCATAGACAACCGATGAGTTAAAAAAGAAGTCATGAGAGAAATTATTAAATACCTTGAGATGAATGAAAATGAAAACACAACATGCCAAAAGTTATGGGATGCATCAAAAGCCCCTTAAAGGGAAATTTATAGCTGTGAATGCCTACCTTAAAAAGGAAGAAAGGCATCAAATCAGTAAACTAAACTTTCACCTTAAGGAACTAGAAAAAGAATCACAACCTAAACTGAAGCAAGCAAAAGGAAGGAAATAATTAAAATCAGAGTGGAAATAAATGAAATAGAGAATTTTATTTTATTTTGGAGATGGAGTCTCATACTGTTGCCCAGGCTGGAGTGCAATGGTGCAATCTCGGTCGCCTCCCTGCAACCTCTGCCTCCTGGGTTCAAACAATTCTCCTGCCTCAGCCACCCAAGTAGCTGAGACTACAGGTGCACACCACCACACCCAGGTAATTTTTTGTATTTTAGTAGGGACTGGGTTTCATTGAGTTGCCTAGGCTGGTCTCAAACTCCTGAACTGGGCAATCTGCCCACCTCAGCTTCCCAAAGTGCTAGGATTACAGGTGTGAGCTACTGTACCTGGCCAGAATAAAGGATTTTTTAAAAAGAAAAAAATCAATGGGACCAAAGTTTTTTTTTAATAGATTGATAAAATTGACAATCTTTTAGCTTAACTGATCAAGAAAGAGAAAAGACACAAATTACTAAAATCAAGAACAAAAGAGGGGACATCAATTCTGACCTCACAGAAATAAATAGAATTATAAAGGAATATTATGAATCATCATATGCCAAAAATCAGATAACTTAGATGATATGGGCAGATTTCTAAGAAGACACAAACTATTGAAACTAACTCAAGTAAAAATAAACGATATACGTGGACTCATAACAAGAGATTGAATTTGTATTTTAAAACTTCCCACAAAGAAAAGCCGAGGTTCAGATGGCTTCACAAGTGAATTCTACCAAACATTTAAAGAAGATTAACACCAGTCCTTCACAAACTCTTCTAGAATAGAAAAGGACAGAACAATTCTCAAATCATTTTATGAGGCCAATATTATTCTGATACCAATACCAGATAAAGACTTTACAAGAAAACAATAGACAACACCTATTACAAATATAGATGCAAAATTCCTCAATAAAATACTGGCAAACTGAAACCAGAAGTGTGTAAGGATTAGATACAATGACCAAATGGGATTGATCCCAGGAATCCAAGATTTGTTTAATATCTGAAAATCATTCAGTGTAATACACCACATTAACAGAATGAAGGACAAAAACCACATGTTCATCTGAATAGATGACAAAAAAGCATCTAACAAAATCCAACACCCTATCATGATAAAATCCTGCCAACAGAAAAAAAATGTCCTCAATTTGATAAAAAGCCAACAGTTAACATTGCTAACGGTGAAAGATGAACTATTTTCCCCTTAAGATCAGGAACAAGATGAGGATGTCTGGTCTTGCCGCTTCTACTCAACATACTAAAGGTTTGAGCCAGAGCAAGTAGGCAAGAAGAAGAAATAACAAACATACTGAATTTGTGTAGAGAAAAATGTGAGATCTGGGGGCTGTATGGGCACTAAAAGTCATTATTCTTTTGCTGTTTGTGAAAAGAGAGATAATACTTCATTGTCATATAAAATGAAAGATTGAAAATGGCTCTCTTAAGAAGCCAGTAGAGGCTGGTCCGATGGTAGTGGGTTATCAGAACTTATTAACATTAGTGTCACTAAAGTTGGTATACAACCCCCTACTGCTAAATTTGACTGGCTTTAAAAAAAAAAAAAAAAAAACGAAGCCAGTAGAAAGCTGTGGATTTTGTGTCAAAACTGGAAAACAACTGCTGATCATTGAAATATAAATGCAAAATGTGATTCATAAGGACATGCATACCAGAAATATAATTACAATAAACAGAGATTCTAGTCTTTTGAACAATTTTGGTTATGTCCTGATATCTGAGAGAATGCTTTACTGATGTGAAGAAACCACCTAGCAGCAACAACCTGAATCGCAGGAATAACACCTGGGAGGAAATAAAAGGCCCGTTTCAATAAGACTAAGAAAATCCAAATCTACAAAGTAATGCATGGAGGTTGGAATATGAAAGTCCCAAATTCCTCTAAAATGAAAATAGTTCCACAAAACAGAACAAAATTGCAAGGAAAGGAGGCCAAGAACTGATTATTTAGATAACTGATAAATCTGTCCATGGTAGCAGCACATAAACACTAAATCATTTTATGCATCTTCAGTTAGGATCTCCAACTCCTAATTTAGTGAGTAGCTGTGATAGGAACCTTCTGTTTAGCAAGCTACACATATGCTTCCAACAAATCATCACATTTCCCTTTTAACAACCTACATAATCAACCTTTTCAAAATTATTATTTAATTCAAAAAATACCCAACTCCATCAATTACAATTAAATAATGCTATTTTATTTAGTAAAGAAGTAAGCTGCTATCCTCCTCTTCACCTCAGATTTACCTATCTCTTTGTACTAGGGCAGTAAATAATTGTCTTTTTACCAATCAGCTAATCTCCATCAAAAAAAAAAATCAATGTTGCATGTGCAACAGACTTAAGAGTCAACCAAGGATGTGGAATTTTTGTCTACCTACAGTCCAAATTCTTCTCTGCTGCATAAATAAACAACCTAGAGAGTGAAAATATACTCCGAAATGTATTCCAGAACACTGAAGTATAAAACATACCTGTGTGTCCTATTAAACGGGCTTAAGTTTATATTGTGAACAATAAGCCATGTGGGTGGTTTCGGTAGTTGGGAAAGCCCCAGATAATAAAAAGGATTATGTTTACATTTCCTAGGGACTCACTGAAGGTCATTTGCTCAGTCAACCTCACAGTGAAGAATTCTGCTGCACTAAACTAAGTGAAGAAACATGTGCAAAGACAAATGTGATTAGCCAAGTTATGTAAATAATATAATGGTGAAAGTCTATTAGGAACTAATATCCCATTAATAGGAAAAATCAAAATAAAAGTCAATGTGACGCCACAGTTTTCTGGTACAAATATCTCAGGATTCCTTGTGTGTGTGCAAAGGCTCATGTGCACTAAATACATTACCAAAGAACATGTGTGCAAATACACAAAACTAAAAACATGACCGTAGGAAAAGAGCCAAGAATAAAGATGTTGATTCAAAAGAGTTTCCAACCTACCAGCCTCGGGTCTGTAAAGTAAGACCCAAGATCATTATTGTTGAAATGAATACATCTAAGTGAAACAAGCAGAACAGGTGATGTTAGATTATTTCACTGACAAAGAATAAATGGAGAAAACTTCATAGGCTTTATTGATCAGGTTGTTCTAAATATAAGGCATGACACAGCATCAGAAAGAGAGTAGATAAACAAAGGGAAGAATTAGGCTACTGTGAAATGAGTAGTAAACAAGTAAGGCAGGGTTAAAGCCTGTGGTGTAAAAGCAGCAGCAGTGAATATAAAAGAGATAAAAGCATGCCGGGCACGGTGGCTCACGCCTGTAATCCCAGCACTTCGGGAGGCAGAGGTGGGTGGATCATGAGGTCAAGAGATCGAGACCATCCAGGTCAACATGGTGAAACCCCGTCTCTACTAAAAATACAAAAAATTAGCTGGGCATGATGGCGCATGCCTGTAATCCCAGCTACTCAGGAGGCTGAGGCAGGAGAATTGCCTGAACCCAGGAGGCGGAGGTTGCGGTGAGCCGAGATCACGCCATTGCACTCCAGCCTGGGTAACAACAGTGAAACTCTGTCTCAAAAAAAAAAAAAAAAAGAAATATCCAAGATTATTCTGGAGGTATGATATAAAATATTAAATATAGGGGGAAATGCAATTATGTTTTTAACTTATATAGTAAAACAAGGAATAGCATGGTCTGTGTCTCCAAGATTATTCTGGAGGTATAATATAAAATATTAAATATAGGGGGAAATGCAATTATGTTTTTAACTTATATAGTAAAACAAAGAATAGCATGATCTGTGTCTTAAATACTGTGATTCCAATTATGTTTATGACTCAAAGAGTTTCAGAGTTTTTGACAGAGAGCTGATTCTATTAACTCATAAAAGTGAAACATTTTAAAAAGTGTAGTTTGTAAGTAAAGGTAAATGTAAAAAAAAACAAGACAAAACTATAAAGTGGTAGAAAGAAATATGCTGTATAAGTTAAGTGAAAAGGGAAGAAAGTGTCACAAGAAAATGTGAAGCTGGAAAGTCCCTTCCAGATAAAAGCCACAGGTAAGGAATAAGTGACACACAGCATGAGTCAATGTCTTGGATAAAATGCAATATTCAAATTTACAAATTACAGTTCCTATTACAGATTAAGAGCCACATTATAAGAATCAGCATTTACCATGGTTTGTGATTAAATGAATAGCTCGATGATGCCCCATCTCCTGGAGGACCTGTAAAAGGTCACCGATGGTCTTGTTTTTCTGTGCCCAGGACCAAAGTAATTCTCTTGTTCCACTTTTACCTTGGTCTACATATTTTTCAATATGACGAACATCCAGCCAGCTGCTTGAAAGTCGCTCTGCTGAAATATAAAGAAACAAAGAATTATTTACTGTACTTTTATTGAAATACTTGTTTTGTGTACCTTATGTTTTATTTCCTCTTATTTATACCTTTAACTTTCCTCTAATTTATAAATTTTATTTTGAACTCATTTGGCATATACTCACCTGCCTTCTGCTAATGCTGACATCTTACCACAACACAATGATCAGAATCAGTGATAACGGCAAACCTTACTCTAACTTCACGAGGTTTTCCACTAATGCCGGTTTTCTGTTCTAAAATCCTATCCAATTTTTCATCTTATATTTAATTGTTCCTTCTACTTAGTCTCCTCCAATCTGTGAAGGTTCCTCAGTCTTCCCTTGTCTTTCGGGACAGTAAATTATATTGTCCTTATCAGCACATAATATCAAGAGGTTTAGGATAGGTATGTCTTATCAAAAATAATGTTTATTTTGATCACTTGGTGAAGGGAGTGTCTTCAGGGTCTCTACTATATAATTATCTTTCCCTGTATAATTAATAAATATTTGGGGGGAGATATTTTGAGATTATGAAAATACCCTGCTTCTCCTCGGATCTGAGCCACTAATGTTTGCATCCACCAGTGGATCTTATTTATCACAATTATTACTACAATGTTTGCTTAATAGTGAGTGATTTTTCTATTTTCCCTTGTTCCTTCTATGCTCATGAACTCTTCTGTAAGAAACAGCTGTCCTTTCTCCTACATTTATTTATTTATTTATTCATCCAGTTGTTTATATCTGTAGGCTCATGTATATTTATTTTGTCCTACAGGTTAAAATCTAGTACTATTGTTAACAATTTTGTTGCTAAAACTGTTCTAGCTTTGTCCATTTAGGTTGGCTCTTGTGTTCTTTTTTTTACCCCATTTTCTTTTTTCTGAGACAGGATCTTACTCTGTCACTCAGGTTGGAGTGCAGTGGGGCAATCTCAGCTCACTGCAGCCTCCATCTTCCAGGCTCAAGCAATTCTCCCACCTCAGCCTCCCAAATAGCTGCAACTATAGGTGTGCACTGCACCACCATGCCCAGCAAATTTTTGTATTTGTGTGTGTGTGTGTGTGTGTGTGTGTGTTTTTCTTTTTTGGTAGGGATGGGTTTTGCCACATTGCCCCAACTGGTCTCAAATTCCTAGGTTCAAGCTCAAGCAATCCACCTTCCTTGGCCTTCCAAAGTGCTGGGATTACATGTGTGAACTACCACAGCAGGACTCTTGTGTTCCTTTGACAAGCTCTATCTTTTTGTGAGTATCTCCTTGTTTTCTGGTGCTACAAGGTGCTCCAGGCTCATTTAGTATTTCCCCCTTCCCATGACTAGAATTATTTTTCTAATGATCTCTGGTGCCTTTGTTAGACAATGGTATATAGAAGCTCAATCTCAGTGCTAGAATTGCTCACTGTGGCCAGGGTTCCATTGCTTCTAGGCACTCCAAGAAAACAGAGCAAGGAAATATAGTTATGTACACCAATCCATGGATCTCTCTTTCTCTATCTGTATGTGCATATGTTAAATAACAAGAATTTATTCTGATGTTTCTGATTCTAATCCAACATCACAAGGTATATTTCAATCCTTCCTCATTTGTAACTTGATTCTTGAACAATATTATTGATAACATATTTACTTGTTTAACTCTACAATGCAGATAAAGTACTTTCAGAATTGCCAACCCATATTCCTGTGAAAAACACATTAACAAAATTAGAACACAATAATTATTTCTGTCCTTAGCACAAAAGCACATCCAGTTAAGATGCTGTGTGTTCCAAAGTGGCTTAGATTCTTTTCTTCCTCATCCCTTCAGTGTGGTTATTATTCATTTGTAATACAGTTAGATTCAGTTGTTGAAGATTTGAGGAATGGTGTTTTGTTCCCTTCTGTCTTGCTGTTGAACATTTTTGAGAAATTAAAAGCTAGTATCTGGGAAAAATCAGGGAAATGTTTTACTAGGATACTAGGCTTTAAATAATTCAATTAAGGTTTTGCATAAACATCTTAAAGCTGTACTAAAAGTATATGAGTGTTTGTGGTGCCTTGATTTAACAGGATTCTTCAAGTGAAAATTTATATTGCCTTTCTGCACAACTTCTAAATTTTAAAGTGTACTTTGAGGCAAAGTGGGGAGAAAGAAAGCAAATGACAGAAAAGGTGGTCTTGTTCCTATGATAGTATTCCCAGTTTGGAATATTGAGCACTAAAATTAACAATGTGTTTTTGGGATATTGATGGTGACAGCGGCATCCTTTCAGAACTTTAGCTTCCAGAGAAACTAAAAAATGCAGGATCCTGGATACAGGTCTGTGGATAAAAACCCACTGTTATCTGAGGGTGGCCATGGGGGACCCCTGACATGCCACCATAAGGAGTTTTAGGAGCTTAGCACCCTTTCATCCTGCCACACACGAATATGTGGAAGCTGATAGAGTAACAGAATTCAAGATATGAACTTGTGTATATCAGTCAGGATAGACTAAGCTATGCTGCAGTAACAAGCACCACCAAAATCTCAGTGGTTTCACATAGCAGAAGTTTACTTTTTGCTCCCGGGAAGGGCACTGAGAGTCCAGCAAACTGTGCTCCATGTGGTGGCTCAGTATTTCAGGCTGCTTTGATCTTGAGGCAGCCCCCTGTCAACATGTGGTGAACTGTGCCCTGGCTTTTCAGTGTTTCTCACTGGAAGAGACACAGAGGGGCATCTAACCTGAAAGGGCAGGGAAATGGAATCCTCTATAATGAAATAGAGGGTTGGAAGTTCTGGTGGCACTAATAATGTCTATCATGTCAATTTTTAGCTCACAGAAAGAGGACCAGTAATGGTTTCATATTGTGAACCCTTTCAACTTTCAGGATTTACTCATAGCCCCAGTGGGACCATAAAGTTGACGTTAAACTGAATATTCCAGCAAAGGCCTGTAGAACCAGAAGTGGGCAGAGGGGATGCCATATTAAGGCAGAAGATACTGCCTTTCTGCTGGCTTGATTTCAAATATTATAATGGATATAGCAACTCCCTAAGAAATTAATAACCTTTGAACTCTGAAACACACTTTGTCTTTGGAAACAGAGTCTCACTCCGTTTGCCAGGCTGAAGTACAATGGCACGATCTCAGCTCACTGCAACCTCTGCTTCCTCAGTTCAAGTGATTCTCCACCTTAGCCTTCTGAGGAGCTGGGACTACAGGTGCATGCCACCATACCTGGCTTATTTTTGTATTTTTTTAGTAGAGATGGAGTTTCTCCATGTTGGCCAGGCTGGTCTCAAACTCCTGACCTCAAGTGATCCTCCTGCCTCGGCCTCCCAAAGTGCTAGAATGACAGTTCTATTTGAATGCATGGTTAGGCTGTAAGGAAAGAAAAATAGCTAGAATAAAACATCTGACATCACTGAGTTGGAATGTCTTTGCCCTTCCTCCATATTTCAAGTTCTGGCAAGAATATATTCATTCCTCATCTCTTTGAAGAGATGATTTTCACAAAGAGGCAAAGACTATCCAAATGCCAATATATGTTTTAGATAGCTTATCATTTTAAAAAAGAAGCCTTTACAAAGCAAAAATATTAGCCAAATGTGGTAATGTTATTTTAATATATTTCTTTCTGATGAGATAGTCTACCTCTTTGGTTGAGGCACATTTTTAAAAAACACTTTATTTAGCTATTTCTACAAGCTCTTAAGAGAAATATTGCAAATCAGTGCAGTTCAAACATTTGTTGAGTATCTACTATGTGCCAGAAACATAGTAAAATGTACGTTCCAAGTGTGAGTTGAGCATGAAGACAGGCCTCTAACTAAAGATGAGAACACCAGGGAAGCCTTTCTGGAGGGGTAGTTTCAGGAGCCTGAGCCATGCCATGTCTAAAGCTGAGTACTTCTAAAGAGAGGCCAATTTTAAAGACGTATTAGATAGAGTACAGTATCCTGGGGAGGAAAAAATAATCACTAGAGTTTCAGATTGTAAACAAGACAAATGAATGACTCAGAGCCCTGAAGACTGTCCTGCTTTCCAAGGAGAAAAGTTCTTACTCAAAACAGAGCATTACCATGGGACTCTGGGTGAATATAGAAACACATGTATTTAGTAGTGGCATTGCCATTGACCTATGACACAACTCCAGGCAAAACAGCCTCACTGAACAATCTCAAACTTCTCAATAACAAATGTCCCTGCAGTCCCATCTAAAACATATAATAAATCTTCTTGCTCTTCCCTGGGCCTGCTAATCAATTATAACACCTCTAATCTTTAAAACACTTCCTATTCTCAAAATGAACATTCCAACAAGAGAACTCTAAATATCAAATTTCAGCAAAGGGAAAGTTTAGGTTTCTACTTTTTCTATTAGAAAATTAATTGAGGCTGAGTGCAGTGGCTCACACCTGTAATCCCAGCACTTTGGAAAACCAAGGGGGGAGAACCACTTGAGCCCAGGAGTTTAAGACCAGTCTGGGAAACATGGCAAAACCACATCTCTATGAAAAATTTAAAATTTAGCCAGCTTTTGTGGTGTACATGCACCTGTAGTCCTAACTACTTGGGTGGCTGAGGTGGGAGGATAGCTTGAGCCCAGGAGGTTAAGGCTACTGGGAGCCAAGACTGCACCATTGCACTCCAGCCTGGGTGACAGAGTGAGACTCTGCCTCAAAAAACAAAAAGGAGGAAGAAAAGAAAATTAATTGGCTAATATTTACAGAGTATTGGGCATACTGTATCATATAAATTCACAGTAATGAATATTTAAAGAACAGGCTTCTTCCTTTTTCTTTTGTAAAATAAAATCGTTCCCTCTACCCTTTGAAACTTTGGGATAAGACATATGCATATAATTTAACAACAGTGATGAGGGAAAATGATTTTTTGGACTACCACAGTCAGGGAAGGATAGAAGGGGTAACCAAATACCACCTAGCTTTGCAACAGAAGTGGTGTGGGGCAAGGTTTCGCTAGGCTAAAGGAATAGAAAAGGGTCTGTCAAATGCGGAATTGTTTCA